GCCCCCCCGCTCCTTGGAGCAACTAGGTGCAAGTTCTAGTTGCTATTGTTTAAAAACAAGAGAGGTCTTAAACATATGAAATTAAAAGAAGAAAAAGTATATATACGAAGTTATGAAGTCTTTAAAGGAATGTTGACAGAGGACTGGTCAAGATTGGATTTGATACAATAGGGAGTGACTTGTAGTTTAATATAGAATAGAGAGATGTATGAAGCAAAAGATAATTCAGAGTCAAACCAAATTCCTATATCATGTTTCAAGCACTAGGGGAAAACCTGGAAGCAGAGGTGGGTTTATTAGGAGTACATTTATTGCCATTCAGCTGGATATTGATTTGAATGAATTAGGCCAAGCAATAAAAAGATACCACTCTGGGTATGTTCCGAGGGATTTCTGTAGGAGAGATCTGTGGATTAACAACTCAGCCTCATATTTTATCAACTACAAATAAAAGAGGGCCTGATATATCCTTAATGATACACTTAGAGAATCAAAGAAACCATTTTGAGCCTGCAATATTTATGGAGAATACTCTACAGACATGTACACATAAACCATGAATAGCCTAAAGATGTGGATCAGCTGGCAAAAATAACAGATCTGTTCAGACAAAGACGCAAAAAAAGAGGATGCAGTTGTTCCATAGAAGGTTACAGGTTTCCCTCGCTTTATGCGGGTCGGGCTCTGTATGTGCAAATCCACTCTTATGCCATGACCCGTTTTATACTAAAAAATCATTTTATATGATGTAAATTCACTCATGCAATTGGTGTGGTGGAAGCCTGCAGTCAGCTGCTTTGTGCAGTGCATTGTGGGAGTGACGCACACCAAAATATTGTCTCTTATGTGGATCTGTTCTCCTTGCTGGTTGTCTGCGACACGTTGCCATCCCCATTAAGATAGTGCCCTGTGCTTGTGTATATTGTCTACTGTTGGCGAATACCAAAATTGTCTTGTAAAAGTGATAGAAATGGGTCTGGGGGTCAGTACAGTCGAGGTTTTGAAACTTATCCTTATTTGTTACAGGCAACCCCCGCTTAGTGCTCTTAACTGGCTCCTGAAAAACCGAGCGTTAAGTGAAACGAGCGTTAAGCGAAACCGAAAGTATTTGATGACCCAAGATGGCGACCACAATTGTTTTTAATGACCCAAGACGGCGACCACGAGCATTATAACAAAACTCACTGAGCGCTAAGTGAAATCAGGTAGCAATTTTAAATGAGCATTATAGCGAAATAGCGCTAAGTGAAACAGTGTTACGCAGGGGTTGCCTGTACATTGTAAAGCAAGCTCCCTTTATGCCAATTCGAGTTATGTGCTGTTTTCCAGGAACACATGTACAGCATAAAGCGAGGGAAACCAGTATTTCCATGAACCCTAAAAGCTGCTCTCGTTTAAAAAGAGATTTGAGAAGGTCAAGGCCCATCATGCTTAGGGCTTATCCTGGAAGTGATATTTTGAACCTCAGGAAGGGAAACATTACGCACAATTTTCCTTATCATGCTCTGATGATGAGACAGAAGATGAGACAGTGGTCTCCAATTTCTCCAAACAAAAAGAAGTGATGCTACTGACCTACATACGTAGAAAACTGAGGCACAGTAATGCAGTGTCTTTATAAGACAAGACACAACTTAATCCCTATTACCACACAGTAATGGCCTGAGCTTCCATCCATATGGGAAAGCATTTTTGATGCCCCAGAGCGCTCAGAAACAAAACCAAGACTCAGTGAAGAAGTAAAAGATTAGTAATGGTGAATTAACAAAGGAAAGAAAGTGAAGAGAAAGACTAAGAGGATGACGGTGCTTTTGGCAGTGACTCTCTCTTGGCTGACTCTAGTCCAAAGTGACAGGCCTGGCTGGAAGCTACAATGCAAGTGTTCAGAGGGGTGGAGAAGCAGCCTCACTTTTATTTTTTGCTGAGTTGAAAAGTGTCACTTTTCATTTTGCTTTTATAGTTGCCGGAGACCATTACAGCTCACCCCATATTGGATTGCTCTGCCCTGGAGAGAGCAGATGACATCTGAGAATGCAGTAACTGTGTGGTTTATCAGCCCATTACATGGTACCCTATGAAAACTACTTCAGGCTTATCTATAACATTTTAGTTTTATGTCATTTGGATGAATCAGTGTACCAGGGATGGTGACTTTTTGTTTAGATAAATCTCAATAATTTTAAGAGAAGTAGGAATACAATGTCAGCTATGACAAGTCTAATAGGAAACCATGATCACCACCGAAGACATCTTAGGAGCTCAATGTCCTTGAGGGGTGGTGGAAGGTGGGGCGAGGAAGGGAAGGGAAAGGTAGAAGGGATGTGTAGTGGAGGATATACATAGTATAGAGATTGAACCAACTTTATTTTTGAAGTCAAGAATGTGCATGTATTTTGGCAGCTCAGAATATCTCCACATGCTGGGGGTGGGGGGTAGGGGGGAGGTAGAAGATATGGTAATACAGTAAGAAAAGACTTGCTGATTCTTTCTGGCATAACCCTGAGACAAGAGAAAAGGGCAGTGGAGCCATTGACTAATTCTTTTTGATTACGAGCAGATCTTGGCTTGATGCACTGTGGAGCCTTTGTTAGAGACGGCATATTTGGGGGTAATGGTACTTCTCTTTTGCTGAATTAGTTTTCAGGCATTCCCAAAGGAGAGGAAAAGGGGGATGCCAGGCCCTGCCATCACAAAGGTCAGGAGGGAAGGTGAATTCATTCTGTCATGGTGCAAAAGGGAGAGAGGAAAACTAGGAAGGAGAAGTGTTGGCAGCTTTCTGGTACAATTGAATGATGCCACGGCTGTGTTCTCGGAGAAGACAGGATTCGAGCAGCACAACCTCTTACTCTGAAGCTATCTTGCTATGGTAATGCTAGAGTGAAGATGTAGCCATGATGGTCCAGGAATTATGTAAGATTCAAGGATTTTTGGGGGCGATGTATTTAATTGGACCAGCTGCATAGCTGGTCTAAAATTAGACAAGGGTTTGAATGCAGAGCATGACCTGAAGAATGCTTTGTATTTAAAAGCTTGTCTAACTTTATCCCAGCTATGCAGCTGGTTCAGTGAAAGATATCACCCCAAAAAATCCTTGCCTTTCTGAAGCTCTCTCTAATGAATACATGACACCTGTCCCAGTCACCTGGAGAAAAATGCAGGGATAATTAAGGAAAAGACCAAAGCACAATTAGCATTTTAGGCCACCACCCTGCAAAGGCTTGTCTCTGGAATTGTGTGCGCCATGAACTGTCCCACTGAAGTCAATTAACTGCTCTTAGAGCAAGAAGTTAAGGCCAGTCAGAGACCTCTGAAAAATCAGTTTGTAGGCTTGCATTTAAGTCCATGTTACTTGAAGAAAGCCACATGCAGATCTGAAAGGCTCTAAGAGAAACAAGTATTTTTAAATATCAGGTTTAATACCTCTTAGCTCCTAGATACCCAATAAGCGGAGCTTTTGCTTAATATTGTTACTCCAGAAGGTCAACACGAGACAAATTCATGTGCTTGCTGGGGCAAAGGACTGAAAGCAGTATTGAGAGGCAGAAGATCTTTCTTTGGAGACAAGGGAAGGGAGTGGATATATGAGCATAAGGACCAAAGGCCACATTTTCATCTTATTTACACAACTATAAATCCAAAACCATTTCTTTGGCTTCACTGTAGTTGCTCCACATTTACATTGTCCTGTTCAAGATCAGAATTTGTGGTCCAACTAACACTCATTACACTGCAGGCATTTCTACACCATGTCCGAGAGGCCCAGTTCATGTAATCACTCTTCGCACACACCCAATGCTGAGAAAATGCACTGACAACTATTTGGTGAATACTTGGGCACCCGCTAGTGCTGTGTTCAGGCTTCCAGTTGCAGACATGCTTATCCAGGCAGCTATATGAACATTGTTATGGTGTGTGGCATTTGAGGACCATTGCTAGTGCTGGACTTGACCAAGACAAAATTAAGGAGAAGGAACCCACAGCAGATAAATATTTGTATGGAGTCTGATAGTCCATCCACGGGAAGGCTACACACATAATCAATGCCACTCATTTTATTACCAATGCAACAGAGGTGGAGGAAAGGAGAAATGTTTTTTTCTTCACATGGCAGAGAGGTAAAGATATAGCTCTTTCATGCTGAGCTTCTAACTGTGGTTCCCTGTATTTCACTGTCTGATACACAAGTTCTCTCCTACTAGGTATCTTATAGTCACTACCTTTCTAGATATATGCCATGGATCATTTCAGATATTGTCTTTTTATTCAGATAGCTAATGATTTTAAATATATAAAAAAGCACTTAAAAAAACCCCCAGAAGCTTTAAATTACAAGTTTTAAAAAGTCAACTTAAATTTTTAGAAAATTGAAGGGTCAGAGTCAAAAGAAGAAGAATTTTTGGGCTAAGCCACAAAACCCTCTAGGATATGATGAAGTATCCATCTATTCATTTCTAGATTTAAATTAAATTAAAACCGTTTTCTTTCCCACTTTAATGACTATTAAAAACACTTGTGCGTTTGAAGGCAATCTTTCCCCCTCCTTTATTTGACCCTACAAGACTGTGCAAATCTGTCAGCTCCCATATAACATCACATGGAAGAAGGGGACTTACCTTTGCATGATCCAGAATATCCTTTCCCTCAAAGGACTGAGGTATTCCCCTCTTTATGGTAGTGCTGGAGTGACAGGAGCAAGTAACCCATTGAACAACTACAGCCCCTGGTGGTTTACTTGCAGCATTTGCAGCTTGTGTTCCCCCTCCCTTAGAACTGGCAGTAGTTATTTCAGGTGCCTTGGTGCTCGTAGCAGCTGCACACACGGCCCTCATGCATTACGCCTCTGGGTATCCAAGGCCTTGGCTGCGGAGGGCTGAGGGCAGCTTCTAGGGAAAGGAAAATAGTTCATTGTCATTTTATTCCATCAGCTCATGTTTATCTTGGCTAACCCGTTCCACGCTGTACAATGGGTGTAAAGAAAGGGCTTCGACTGCTGAATTTGTGACGTGGCAATAGTTCCCATGGCCACAAGCAAAATAAAACCAGCAGAATCGCTTGGACTCTCATGAGCTAAACCAAGAACTGGTGCATTACTGTTAGAAAAATACTGTGGAAAAATCCCCTACTTTACAGCAAGGCTGTGACAGATGAGAGCCATAGCATGGCCTCCTATCCCACAGAATCCATTACTTCTACAGAATTCACTGCAGCACATTTACTAGTGCGCTGCAAAGTATTATAAATAATTAAAACTAAACCATTCGTGTCAGAAATAAATGAACAAAGCCCATTTTGCAATGCAGCATTGCTGATTTATTTCTCATTGTGTTCGCTTACTGCACTTGCTAATTCGCAAAACTCAGCAACCCACAGTGGGTCTCCCCGTCCTAAGCAACAATTAGCGAGGCTCTGCCATACAGGATTATGTCTTCACTGCAGGCTCAGATAGGAGCAGACGACTTACAGACAGGAGAAGCTATTATTCGGAAACATCTCTTCAGGAATAAAGAAGGAAGACAGAAACCGGATCAGCTAAATTAACTGCTTCTGTAGGAAACCTTCTATTTTTTCCCCCCGCGTTTGCACCATTCAGAAAGCCTCTCTTTTAAGGATCTTATCTGATTCCATTGCGCCCCCGGCTACTGCAGTGCATATGAAACCATGTAGAATCACGTTCTAATAAATCGCACACAATATTAAATACAACCACAGCACTACTTCTCCTTTATGAGCCTGAGAATCTTTAACCCTGAATCTCCTGGCTTCTCCCAGACCTTTGATACATTCATTAGCAACCAATAGAAAAAAACCATTGCTTCTTTTAAAAGTTTTGATTTCACAGATGATCTTTTCCCTGTTGGTGTTGTTTTTATTGTTGTCATTTATTTTGCTGATATATATTGCAGGACAGCTGTGCTCAGGTCTAGGAGATGATAAATAAGCATATTGTGTCACTGGATCTGCCAGCAACACTAAGCCCTCTTGCAACCAGAACTGGGTTTTTTCCTTTGCTCCCATTTTATATGAAGCAGATTCTGTTCGGATACTTATGCAAACTCAGGGTCAGAAACTTGCATAAAATATTTGTATAAGGCAATGAAATGAATAAAGTAGCACATGTGGAAGTGAGGGGGAAAACTGGCTACTCATCCTTTTCTTAACAGGGATGTACCAAATGTAAATCCATAAACCTCTGTGGCCAGATAGGGTCATCTCTCTCCTTGCAAAGCCAAACCTGCCTTGTCATTGTGGTTACTTCCTGGCAGCAACTACTCCTATCGCAGGAAAAACTCACTGGACCCAAGCAAACTATAAAGACCATGAAACCCGTGTGGAAAACATGGGAAAAACAGAGGGTTACTTTCTCTTCTTTTTTCTGCCCAAAGCTTCCAATGCTGCAGCATGCATTTTTAAATACTCTAGATTGAATCAGTTCACTTATTTTATTCACACCCCGCAAATATTAATTATCCTACAAGAATTTTTGGCTGCTGCAGAATTATCTTTGGTGAGATTTTTCAGGCTTATTGATTGCGCATCAATAGTTCAACTACACACATTTTCACAGACAGCATCTTTATAAAGCTTTCCTAAAGTTTCTGTTTGTTTCTGCAGGCTATTCCACTATGCCAGACAGGGGTGTGCGAAATGGGCCCTATTCAATTCGGATTCGGCCTGAATCAGGGACAGTGGCTCGATTCGTTGATTTGGACCGCTGTCCCCGATTCGATTCGGCCGAATCTGAATCTGAAGATTTGATGCAGATTTGGAGAATCGGTGATTAGGACATAGACACAGCTTTAAATGTTTTTTTCTACACACCTCAAGGTACCAGGGTGGCTTGTGATCAGTGCTGGGGCGGGGGACACATCCACATGCTCAGCGGTGAACCCAGAAGTGGACCTTCCAGTCCACTTCCGGGTCTGTTGGGGAGCACACAGGGCACCCCACCACACCCTATCATGCCCCCTGGCTTGGCAATTGGCTGCGGAAGGACCCTGGGTGGCCCCCTGACCCAGAAGGCACCAGTTGCTGAGCCAGAGGCGTGCAGGGGGGCATGCACTCCCCAGTGGATGCAGAAGTGGGCTGGAAGTGCTTCTGGTCCACTTCTGGGGCTGCTGCCGAGCGTGCTGGGGAGCCCCCCATGGTCCCGTGGGACACTCCATGCACCCCAGCATCGCAGCACTCACAAGCCTCATGCTACCTAGAGGTACGTAGAAAAAACATTTAAAGCTGTGTCTATGTCCAAATTGCTGAATCTTTCCGAATCGATCCGGAGGGTTCTGATTTGATTCGGAGTTAGAAATTCAGCCACTGAATCAGGTCAAATCTCTGCTGAATTGAATCAGGAACCGAAGCTTTGCACAGCCCTAATGCCAAGCAAAGAGGATACATTTTCTCTGTACTTGGTAAGGTGCAAGGAGGTGTCTGAGCACACCCAGGCTTACAGGGGGAAGAGACCAGAGTTTCTAAGGTGCCCCCCTACCCTGCCTTCTGCCTGGGTTAAGATGTGAGCAGACTGGGGCAAAAGAGATCATCCTGTCATCTCACAGGGAGTAGCAAGGAGCTGTATAAATGACTTTGTCTGGCCATTAGACTTAGAAGTTTCATGGATTAGTTGCGGGGTTGCCTGCATCCTGTGGGAAGTAATTCAGCCCTCCCTTCTCTACAACTTGGACCAGGACTAGCTCCCCTTAAGGTCAGCAGCAAGACTCCTGAAGACTTCAGCAGTACCAGAAGCACACACTTGCTGAGTACCCTCCTGGCTACTCACAGCGGGTGCTGGGGTCAGGTCTGAGCTAATGCACATAACTATTATTCCACTCTGGTAATCTTTATGCAATGCCTGGATTTATTTCATTCTCACAAACCATTACTTCATAGAGAAACTAAGAAACTAAGACAATCATAGTCACCACATACTGCATGTTTATCTGGCTGCAAATGTGAAAAATGTCAAAATATATGAAGTATATTAGATATGCTGCTGGGCCCGCTTGGTATGCACCAGAGCAGTGCAGCAGTTATTTTATTTATAAAAATTATATTTTCCTCAAAATTATGTTTTCCTTCAATATTTTCCTTCCTGCATTTTAAACATCTATAAATAATGCAAGCCAAACATTTAACAAAATTGCAGCATGAGACTCGAAACATAAGCAACAGTTTTAAACTGAGCAAGCATATTGTGGTTGAGTTTCTATACACCCCTCAGCACTTAAGGCACTTGCTATTTCTTTCAGGTGAACCTGCTCTGACATCTGCTTCAAGCTAATAATATTAATGACTCTGGTACTGAAGCTCATGCTTCTCAAATGCCTCTTCTTCAAGGGGGGTTTCTCAGTTTTAGTCCCAAAGCTCTTTACATTCCACACATATATAGTGTCCCTTCACTTCCAACGTTGGAACGGGTTTTTTTATCAGAAAGGATCGTGAAACTAAGGTTACAGGAAAGAGCTAGTTATGTTAGATGAATTAATCCCAACACTGTACGTTTCTTACATATATAACTTGTCCCTGCAGGCTACTCAGTGTCTCATTTCAGGGCTTTGTCAGGCACTGCGTTCTGCTGCTGGGCCTTGGAAGGTTAACAGGTTGGCCATGGCCACGGTTGCCTTCTTAGCTGAGGCAACCAGGATTGAACCAGTGACATCCAAAGCTAGCCACGAGCCATGAAAGCCTGAGCAAAAGAAGCAGGCTCATTAGCAAAGCATTGTAATAGATTTTAATCCTTTATAGACAGGCGCAGAGAAAGAACACATAAATCACGTAGTCTCGCCAGGGTTTCTGAGGTCCTCATCAGTTAAAATCCCATAAAAGCTCCCCCTTATGCAATAGCTACATATTACCAGTGGCAGTTCCAGAGACTGAAATGGGGACTTCTCACACTATATATAGTTCGAGTTAAAGGACTTGCCTCAGATCCTCTGTGGCCGCGGTGCAGATAGAGATCTAATAAACTTCGACCAGTTATATTGAACCTTCTAGTTAGTTGTTTTGTGTTTTACCTTCTCTTAACCACCCATGTCAGTAGGTAACACACGCCACTACACCATTCTTCTTTAGTAAAAGGATGCTGCTTTATATACATTATCTTTTTCCGTGCATGTTTTCTAACGCTCTGTTAGAACAGTGAGAAGAAGTCCCACCTCCGTGGTGGCCCTCTTTCCTTTGCTGAACATCAGTGGAGCACATCTTTAGCTGATGTAAATTAGCATAACTCCATTAAAGTCAATGGACTCCTACAATGGTCAATTTACACCAGAAGAAAATTGTCCATAATAGGATTTTTCCCTTGTATTTTTGTAATGATGCTTGAAATTGCCAAGCCTTTTTCTTGCCTTTTTTGCATTCTTGTTTGTGCATCAATATAGTAAATTAGGCCAGCTAAATGAGAGGAGGTCTTTCCTCTAGGTTCTAAATAAATATTAGTTTGGTTTAATTTAGTTTAGTTTTTAAACCAAGAGGTTCTCCATACTGTGGTGATTGATTAGAAATCATGGAGTGGTTTGGAGTTGGTTATCTGATTTTTCAGGTCAAATTTAGGGCATAAACTATTCAAATTCAGAAATTACCCTTAAACTTCTTGTCAAATGTTTAAAAAATGGGATTAAAAATAGAAAGGAAGGCAAAAAGGGGCCCGGATTCAACAGCATTATACAATCAGAGCTAAAATAAACTATGGTTAATCAAAGTGTTTCAGAGATATCCACTGGCTCCCTTTCTGCAAGGCCTCCACAGTATTCTTTCAAT